CAACCGAGCCGTGTTCCAAACTTGTTTTCATGGACTTTTCTGTGAACTGGCCAAAAAAAATTCTCCTACTGTACTACGACTACCACTATTTGAAAAAAAACATTTTTGATACACAGTCAAAATAGCCGACGCTTGCCTTGATGATTAAACGCTGTAGTTTCACCAACCCACCAGTAAGTGGGAGGCGCTATCCCACACAGAAAGCTGCTGTTCAACAAATAACAGAAGAAGAAAGTTTGCGGGAAAAGCGAAGACAGTGACAGCGGAAGAGTGCACGAAAAGCTGGTAAAATGGTTCCCAAGTGTTTGTATATCTGTAAAACGTTGACATTTTGTTAAATCGGCGTCGTCCGTGTAATTCCGACACGGTATGTGTCGTTAAAGTCCTCAGGCTAACGCGACACTCTTACTAAATCGCAGTGGCTGATGTCATAACGCTTAACTACAACAGTGACGGCATCGCTTGGTGAAATTAGTCCTCGTTTATTCAAATGCTACTGACGTGTTGTAGAAACTTAGTAACTGTTCGTTTTGTTGCGCTTAGATTAAAAAACAAACAAAAAAACGACTTCATGGCACCACCCAAACACACCGAGGTGAAAAGAGGAATCGCAGTCCTGTGGGAGACTCTGCAGTGCCCCATATGGTAATTGCCATTAAAGAGCTAATTTAGGCATTACATTGCGTAGAACAGTCAATTTCGACTATATTGCAAATATTTTTTTATTTCCTTTCCATAAATAGTTTGGATTTGTTGACGAAACCAGTTTCTACCAAGTGTGACCATCAGTTTTGCAAGTAAGTATCATTTCATGTCATTTTCACTCCAATGAAGTTTTGTGTGTGTGTGGGGGGGCACCTTCAATTAACTCTGTTCAATGTTTAGGTTTGGAATTTAGTTAGGTTAATCCCTTATTACCTTTCAAATGCTATGTAGTCCGTACTTATACGCATGTATGTTGTTATTATTTTATTCAGCACTTTTTGTCCACCATTTTTAGGTTTTGTATGCTGAAGCTGTTGGACAACGCCAAGCAGAGCAAAGCCGACTGCCCAGTGTGTAAAGAAAAGATAACGAAGAGGTTGGTCATATTCACAATAGCAGCATGTTTGAGAGACGCTGCAAAAATATTCATAATAGGAAGGTCTGTGATTAAGCCTGAGTCTGAGACAGGGAGACCCAGCCTCTCAAAGTGTCTCAAAACATTCCCTTTTCTTCCACACAGAAGCTTGCAGGAGAGTCCGGGTTTTCAGAGACTCGTCACAGGACTGCAAGACATGATCCAGGCATATGAACATGACACCGGCACAAATTGTAAGTACTGTGCAGTCCTTTTCTTCGGTGGCTCAAGTAAAACGCAGAGACCTGAATGCTTTTTCATTTCTACATTCAGACTTGACTGGACTGGCCCAGGAAAGAAGGCGAGCTGGGTGAGTGTGCTCCATCGTCATGTTGTGAATCCAATTGCTTTCAATTGGCACTTGTCCTTTGACTGCCGTTGATCCATTTCCTTCCCGGCAGGCTCAACGATGACAAACGGGTGGATGGGACGCCCGACAATGTGGAGGATGTTGAAAAGGCTCCTCCGAGTTCTCACACATCAACTATAGCAGGTAAAAGCTTGGCGGTTGACAAACGTTGGTCCTGTTCACATTAAAATAGATGGACAAAAGTGCCGCGGCACCTACGGGAAGCGAATGGACCTTGCTTGAGGTCTGAGTTAGAAGAAATAATAGCTGTTCCCCAAACTGTTTGCACAAAGTTGGAAAGAGAACTCTCCAAAATATCGGAGTCAAATGAAGAATTAGAGGGAATCTCAGATTCCAAGAGAAGTAAGGGGTCCATCTCAAGCCCTCGTTGATTAGTTTGTTTGATTTTGGCCACTACTATCCTTGTAGTGTATGGATCATCTCATTCTGGAAGTATTCTTTGCTCCAAATTGTAAAACTGTTGCAATTCGTACTCCTTTTTTTTTTTTTTTTTT